AAATTTCCAACGAAAAGCGGAAAGCTAGTGGTTCCAGGATTACAAGGTAAATGTATTTCAGTTTGAAAGGGCTTTCTCACATGAAGCTTTCGCCACTTTTAATTTCAMGATTTCGAAAAAAATCCCGAAATTACAGCGCTTCCCAATCTCACGCGCGAAATCAGGTTGGTGGACGTCAATCAAAGCTTTTCACGACATTCCATTGGCACGTGCTCTTTGCAATTTTGTATATTCCGAGAGTGTCATGGAAACACCCGGGCCCTTTGATTGACGTCCACCAAAACCTTATTTTTTGGAGACAGAAAATTGTACGATTTCGCGCGTGATTGTGAGGCGCTTTAAGAATAAAGATTATTAAAAAGCAGCGGCAATAAAGTGGTTTGTTACTGAGAACCAATTACTTGCGCCTATTGACCGATCCAGATATGGTAATGTGGTAATAGTCCCATTTCAAGTCCCCATATTGACCAAATCCCATAGCGCCAGCCCATGTTTTGTTCAAATCTCATTCCCATTTTTTGTTTGTTTTTGTTTTGTTTTGTTTGTGAATCCCATATTCCCAATTCATAAGCTCCTCATCCCCAGAAAGGCAAATTCCAGCTTCCCTTATACCCCTTCAGGAACCTCTTATTATGTGAAACGATTCTACTTTCATTTTAGATGAATGTTCAAATACAAACGATGTTGTCAAGACAGCAGTAGATGACGTTAAGAAAAAGAAAAAGAGAAAACGACAGTAGTTTTTAGATTCTTTCTGTGGCTCTTTATTCAAGTGAATAGACTTTAAATATATGAAAGTCTATTATTGAAAATCAGAACATACATTATACAAGTATTATAGACACCTTGCATGTGAGGTCAAAACAGCTGGATCTAGGGGACAAAACAAAAGAATTCCAATCATGAGAATTGGAACCTATTACTTTGTCACCCAGATTGAGCTGCATTCCAAAGTGCTGCAAGGGGTCTGTAGGTATCAAAGATAAATAAAATACGATAAGCCTTTTCATAGTTTAAGAATCGATTCCACTGCGCATGCAATTTTATCCTGAATTTCTCACCTTCTTTTGTTTAATTAAGAACAAAAGAAGGTTTAGACAAAAGGTGAGTGAGAAATTCGAGATAAAATCGCATGCGCAGTGGAATCGAATMTTAAACTATGAAAAKGCTTATTCTACGTGATGTTTATTAAACGAGCCAKTKTGTTTTACCAGGTCTAARARGATGGTAGCCGATTGGTTTAAAACCTGATAAAACACAATCTTCAAGTTTACTAAGCAGCTTCAAAAACTCCATCCWTTTTTTACCCAGTGGTAACATTCTGCAGTTTGTTTCTCGCTACTAGAAACGAGTAACAGCATTTTACCCCTGGGTTCCCGAGGATGCAAAACTCATGAATAATTCACAAACGTTTTGCTTTATACTTCGATAGAGGTTTATACGTCACTGCCATGCGCAGTGATTCCAAAAAGGCTCCCACAATTTGAAGACAACATACCTAACTTAAGACAGGGGCACTAGTCAACAAGCATTTGTGGGTCGACAATGATAGTACATTAGACGGATCTTGATAGGGCTCTAAAAGTCTTAGTTTAAACTTGGATGCAACTTTATCTCTGATAAAGTCACCCTTCCTGTAATTTATCAGGTATAAAGTTCCATGGAGGGGTCACCCCAAATAGCTGTTATTACAGTTGAGACCGCAATAGACCAAGATAATCTTTTGTTTTACAGAATCATACAAGTGAGGCTATTGGGTCGATAAATGCTTGTTGTCTCATTTGCATGCATCCATAATAACTGCTATTGGATCTAAGACTTATAACATAACATAGCATAACATAATGGTTTATTCACAATTCATCACCTTGTATAAATAAAAATAGAAGACAAAAAAGCAAAAAACATGAAAAATTGTGAAAGGAGGTGAAAGAGGTTATCCTTATGAATTATTCATGAGTTTTTAAAGATTGTTAATGTTAATAGAATGGAAAATATTATTGTTCATGCTGTTCACTTTCATCATTCAATGCTCAGGGCTTTCCGTTTCTTTGCGGTATTCATATATGGTCGTARCCGCCACTCAGTGTCTGCTTCTGTTTGATCGACTGAACCAAGTTTTATTTCATACACTGAGGAAGAATATATATGACGAAGTTATTAATGACATCATAACGACAAGATGAATTAAAGGGACAAGTAAGATTTTACTCGAGTAATTAGAAGGAAAACAATCATTTGGACATCTTTCAGGGAATAACCCAGAAATTTTTTTTTAGAACGGGGTGGACCATTTATGTTTTGAATAAACTGACGAGTCAGAACATCAAGCAACAGCCCTCTTCGGCTTGGGGAAATTTTTTCCCATTTCAGACCACGAGTCATTCCCTTGAGAATAAGATTCTTTGTTTGAGCTGTATCCATATTCATGTGTCTTCTCATGTGCAACTGAGCGCAAACCTTAAACAAAGAAATGATACTCTAGGGAATGACACGTGGTCTGAAAATGGGAAAACATTACGTCAGAGCCGAAGAGGTCTTTTCTCCATGTTCCTTTTCACAAATGAACTTCCTCCGATCAAAAATATTTATTTCATTTCATTTTATTTTTTTAAATATTACCAGTTGAAAGAGCATCCCTCCACTTAAGCTCTCCACGGTATGACCCTCCGTTTGAGTTTGTGGATACATAAACATGTGTGTGCATCACTTTTTTTAATTTTAATACTGTGACAGAATATAACACTGATTGGTCAATGACCTATAAGCTTGCCTGTGGTCTTGCCAGAAATCAAGAAATACTCATAATCTTTTACTTACGTTTCATTTCAAATCTTGGCCCAACTTCATGAAGTTCTATTTGCCCCTCGACTTTCTTGTAAGTATGGTGCCTGTCAATATCAAGAATTTGATCACAGAAGATATAATTGCAAATGGGGATTAACCAACTGGCTAGTAGTACTCATTTCCTTTAGCAGTCAAATCAATAGAACAAATTTCCCAGATTCACTTGGATGACCATGAAACCATGCTTTGACATCAAGACTGAACTTGATTTTTTTATTTAGTAAGTCCAACCTCAACTTAAAACCATTGTTTCGTGATCAGCCTAGCAAATTCTGAAAAGGTCTATTTATCATTAAAATTATCTTTTCCGTTAATCATTTTCATTTTGTGCTTTGTCTCTTTTTGCTGTCTATCAAACATACCAAGTCACAAGGAAGTGACCCATGTTGACAAGTGCATCGTTACTGCACATGAGCAGACTATCATTTGCAGCAAAACGGCTTTGCGTCAAAATGCACATGAGCTGAATATTATTAGCAAGTTTCTTGGTCAATCAAAAACACAGAAAAAATTTTTTTTGATGATAAATCAATATTCTTACCTATTTAAAGGATATTTATCGGGTTGTAAGATATTAATGGGATAGCAAGAATAATTTTAAATTATTTTACACAAAAATTCATAATTTACATTATAGACCCCTTGCAGCAGGTCGGAGTGCAGCTCAATTTGGAGGACATAACAATAGGTTCCAATTCTCAGGAGATTGGAATTCTTTTGTTTTGTCCTCCAAAATGAGCTGCTTTGACATCACATGTGCAAGGGGTCTGTAGGTCCATTAAAGCTATGTTAGGAGCGACACGAGTGAAAAACGTCTGCGCATGCTTTGAATCCGTATGCACATTAGTCAAAACATAAGTAAATTTGACTTTCAAACATGCCTTAGAAATTGGACTTCACAAAATGCCAAAACTTAGTGTCCATGCTTGAAACTTAAGNAACTTCATGAAGTTCTATTTGCCCCTCGACTTTCTTGTAAGTATGGTGCCTGTCAATGTCAAAAATTTGATCACAGAAGATATAATTGCAAATGGTGTTTAAACAACTGGCTAGTAGTTCATCTCCTTTAGCAGTCAAATCAACAGACCTTTTCCAAATTCGCTTGGATGACCATGAAACCATGGTTTGACATCAAGACTGAACTTGATTCTTTTATTTATCACCTCGACTTAAAACCATTGTTCTGGAAAGGTCTATTTATCATTAAAATTATTTTTTCCGTTTTCCATTTTCATTTTGTTGATTGGCTGTTTTTGCTGTCTATCAAACATACCAATAAGTCACAGGAAAGCGAGCCATGTTGACAAGTGCATCCCTATTGCGCATGAGCAGACTATCATTTGCAGCAAAATGGCTTTGCATCATAATGTTCATGAACTGAATATTATTTGCAAGTAGTTATTTGCAGGTTTCTTGGCCAATCAAAACCACAGAAAAAAATAATTTGCCTGGATGATAAATCAATATTCTGACCTATTTGAATAGGATATTTATGGGGTTGTAAGATATTAATGGGATGACAAGAATGATTTTAAATTATTTTACGCAAAAATTCATAATTTACATTATAGACCCCTTGCAGCACGTCGCAATGCAGCTCAATTTGGAGGACAACAATAGGTTCCAATTCTCAGGAGATTGGAATTCTTTTGTTTTGTCCTCCAAAATGAGCTGCTTCGACATCACATGTAAGGGGTCTTTAGGTCCATTACTGCCGTTTGCATTACTACACGGTTACCCAGGACACAAATTGCGTCGTGTAGTTTGCAATAGACTGCCATCAATCAAACACCTCATTCTACTTGGATGTACTCAAACTCTTTGCAATCGCTTTCAGAACTTTCCTTCGTGATATCTGACTGAGAAAGTTTGATAGAAAAGCCAACTCATTAATCCAAACGTGTATAAATGCAACAACATGAATAATTGACAGTACTCTATTGCAAACTACACGACTCGATTTGTGTCTGGGGTGGCCGCGTACAGCAAACAGCGGTAAAGCTATTTAGGAGCATTATTACTTGCCTAAAAGAGATATAGTCATCTTGGTTGGCAAATGTTATTACTCTTCTGGTTTCATCTTTAGGCACTGGGAAAAGGTACTTCAAGATGTTCTGAACCTTGGAGATGATGATAGTTAAGTATGTTAGGATCTTCAAATATCTTGGGTCATTACAGTCAAAATGGCTCAAGCTTACCCCCTAGATTCAATTAATGGTTTTATTATTTGAGTATTGAAATTTTTTATTCTTTCTAATGATATGAAGGCTCGTGGGGATTCAAATAATAAYGGATTCAAAACTCGAATTCTGATTGGATTATTCCATATAAGGAACACCATAATTCAATCAGAATTTGAGTTTTGAATTGGTCATTATTTTGAATCCTGAGTCTTCGTATTCTCAGAAAGAATAATAGATTTAAATATTTGAATAATGGAATCATTAATGGAATCTAGGGGGGTACGCTTCAGCYATTTTGACTGTAACTCAACGGGCCAAGTGATCCTTGCTAGAGTTCCATTACATCAAGYAGTTGAGTGAAAATTAGCATCAGAAATAAAAAGAGCACATTCAAACCACCAAGCAAAACTTAATTCTAGGATGACTCGATCCATCGAACCTTAGTTATGATAGGTACTTTGTAGAAATGCAACTGCTACATCCCATTTATCATGACTACATTTTTATGTAATACTAATATACAGCACCATAAAGTACATGAACTAATGTTTAAATCTTACTCTTTCACCAAGTTTAGTTTTGAAGTTATGGAARACCAGGTGTGGATATGCTTCAGACATGTTAGCAGTCTTGGGGATGTCATGTCTCATCACTGTATTGGATAATGTAAAGTAAGCTGTTGGGCCAAAAGGAAGATGRCATACAACCAGTCCATCTGAAAATATATAAAAAAACCACAGAATCTTAAAAAAAAATCATGAATAACTCCTTTGCTTCAATTGTGTAGATCCAGAAATTTTGATCCGGTCATCCTGACCAGTGATGTTTGGCCAGAAATGAGATAAAACTAACTAACTAAAAAAAAATTGACGTGATGATGACCAGCAACTGATTGGCAGCTATTTTAATTTGGCTGTCTACTTTTGAACGTTCGAATTGAGCCCACGATGAGCGTGCGCTCAAAAACCCGTGAAAAATCTACAAGATTTTATTGAAGAACCATACGCGTTTCAAGCTTCAACAGGGCAAAACCCTCAAATTTTGCACGGGACTCTCTATTTTTTAATAGCTCATTCGAAAAAATTTCTAAATATCTAGGTTATATCAACATCCCATATTTGTAGGGATTTTTGTTCGACTTTATGAGATTTTTTAAGAGCACCGAAACTACAAAATTTGACAAATCAATGTATTTTTTTGTATTTTTGTAGAAAATATCCATGTATTATCGTAGAATGATTGACTAGCCTTTATTCATGCAATCATAGAGTCTGCAAATAACTATTATCTTATGAATCTTAATTTTTTTCTAATCACTTCCGGTGGCGCAATTTTTACTCCAAAACTTCGTGCGTAGGCTTCCATTAATTGCTGATTATCTCGAAAAC